TCATCTCCGACTCGCAGGCGCTACGGTCAGTACAACATCTCCGACTCGCAGGCGTCACGGTCAGTACATCATCTCCGACTCGCAGGCGTCACGGTCAGTACATCATCTCCGACTCGCAGGCGTCACGGTCAGTACAACATCTCCGACTCGCAGGCGTCACGGTCAGTACATCATCTCCGACTCGCAGGCGTCACGGTCAGTACATCATCTTCGACTCGCAGGCGTCACGGTCAGTACATCATCTCCGACTCGCAGGCGTCACGGTCAGTACATCATCTCCGACTCGCAGGCGTCACGGTCAGTACAACATCTCCGACTCGCAGGCGTCACGGTCAGTACATCATCTCCGACTCGCAGGCGTCACGGTCAGTACATCTCCGACTCGCAGGCGTCACGGTCAGTACAACATCTCCGACTCGCAGGCGTCACGGTCAGTACAACATCTCCGACTCGCAGGCGTCACGGTCAGTACATCATCTCCGACTCGCAGGCGTCACGGTCAGTACATCTCCGACTCGCAGGCGTCACGGTCAGTACAACATCTCCGACTCGCAGGCGTCACGGTCAGTACAACATCTCCGACTCGCAGGCGTCACGGTCAGTACATCATCTCCGACTCGCAGGCGTCACGGTCAGTACATCATCTCTGACTCGCAGGCGTCACGGTCAGTACATCATCTCCGACTCGCAGGCGTCACGGTCAGTACATCATCTCCGACTCGCAGGCGTCACGGTCAGTACATCATCTCCGACTCGCAGGCGCTACGGTCAGTACAACATCTCTGACTCGCAGGCGTCACGGTCAGTACATCATCTCCGACTCGCAGGCGTCACGGTCAGTACATCATCTCCGACTCGCAGGCGCTACGGTCAGTACAACATCTCTGACTCGCAGGCGCTACGGTCAGTACAACATCTCCGACTCGCAGGCGTCACGGTCAGTACATCATCTCCGACTCGCAGGCGTCACGGTCAGTACATCATCTCCGACTCGCAGGCGTCACGGTCAGTACAACATCTTCGACTCGCAGGCGTCACGGTCAGTACATCATCTCCGACTCGCAGGCGCTACGGTCAGTACAACATCTCTGACTCGCAGGCGTCACGGTCAGTACATCATCTCCGACTCGCAGGCGTCACGGTCAGTACATTATCTCCGACTCGCAGGCGCTACGGTCAGTACATCATCTCCGACTCGCAGGCGTCACGGTCAGTACAACATCTCCGACTCGCAGGCGTCACGGTCAGTACAACATCTCCGACTCGCAGGCGCTACGGTCAGTACAACATCTCCGACTCGCAGGCGTCACGGTCAGTACATCATCTCCGACTCGCAGGCGCTACGGTCAGTACAACATCTTCGACTCGCAGGCGTCACGGTCAGTACATCATCTCCGACTCGCAGGCGTCACGGTCAGTACAACATCTCCGACTCGCAGGCGTCACGGTCAGTACATCATCTCCGACTCGCAGGCGTCACGGTCAGTACATCATCTCCGACTCGCAGGCGCTACGGTCAGTACAACATCTCCGACTCGCAGGCGTCACGGTCAGTACATCATCTCCGATTCGCAGGCGTCACGGTCAGTACATCATCTCCGACTCGCAGGCGTCACGGTCAGTACAACATCTCCGACTCGCAGGCGTCACGGTCAGTACATCATCTCCGACTCGCAGGCGTCACGGTCAGTACATCATCTTCGACTCGCAGGCGTCACGGTCAGTACATCATCTCCGACTCGCAGGCGTCACGGTCAGTACATCATCTCCGACTCGCAGGCGTCACGGTCAGTACAACATCTCCGACTCGCAGGCGTCACGGTCAGTACATCATCTCCGACTCGCAGGCGTCACGGTCAGTACATCTCCGACTCGCAGGCGTCACGGTCAGTACAACATCTCCGACTCGCAGGCGTCACGGTCAGTACAACATCTCCGACTCGCAGGCGTCACGGTCAGTACATCATCTCCGACTCGCAGGCGTCACGGTCAGTACATCATCTTCGACTCGCAGGCGTCACGGTCAGTACATCATCTCCGACTCGCAGGCGCTACGGTCAGTACAACATCTCTGACTCGCAGGCGTCACGGTCAGTACATCATCTCCGACTCGCAGGCGTCACGGTCAGTACATTATCTCCGACTCGCAGGCGCTACGGTCAGTACATCATCTCCGACTCGCAGGCGTCACGGTCAGTACAACATCTCCGACTCGCAGGCGTCACGGTCAGTACAACATCTCCGACTCGCAGGCGCTACGGTCAGTACAACATCTCCGACTCGCAGGCGTCACGGTCAGTACATCATCTCCGACTCGCAGGCGCTACGGTCAGTACAACATCTTCGACTCGCAGGCGTCACGGTCAGTACATCATCTCCGACTCGCAGGCGTCACGGTCAGTACAACATCTCCGACTCGCAGGCGTCACGGTCAGTACATCATCTCCGACTCGCAGGCGTCACGGTCAGTACATCATCTCCGACTCGCAGGCGCTACGGTCAGTACAACATCTCCGACTCGCAGGCGTCACGGTCAGTACATCATCTCCGATTCGCAGGCGTCACGGTCAGTACATCATCTCCGACTCGCAGGCGTCACGGTCAGTACAACATCTCCGACTCGCAGGCGTCACGGTCAGTACATCATCTCCGACTCGCAGGCGTCACGGTCAGTACATCATCTTCGACTCGCAGGCGTCACGGTCAGTACATCATCTCCGACTCGCAGGCGTCACGGTCAGTACAACATCTCCGACTCGCAGGCGTCACGGTCAGTACATCATCTCCGACTCGCAGGCGTCACGGTCAGTACATCATCTCCGACTCGCAGGCGTCACGGTCAGTACAACATCTCCGACTCGCAGGCGTCACGGTCAGTACATCATCTCCGACTCGCAGGCGTCACGGTCAGTACATCTCCGACTCGCAGGCGTCACGGTCAGTACAACATCTCCGACTCGCAGGCGTCACGGTCAGTACAACATCTCCGACTCGCAGGCGTCACGGTCAGTACATCATCTCCGACTCGCAGGCGTCACGGTCAGTACATCATCTCCGACTCGCAGGCGTCACGGTCAGTACAACATCTCTGACTCGCAGGCGCTACGGTCAGTACAACATCTCCGACTCGCAGGCGTCACGGTCAGTACATCATCTCCGACTCGCAGGCGTCACGGTCAGTACAACATCTCCGACTCGCAGGCGTCACGGTCAGTACATCATCTCCGACTCGCAGGCGTCACGGTCAGTACATCATCTCCGACTCGCAGGCGCTACGGTCAGTACAACATCTCCGACTCGCAGGCGTCACGGTCAGTACATCATCTCCGACTCGCAGGCGTCACGGTCAGTACATCATCTCCGACTCGCAGGCGCTACGGTCAGTACAACATCTCTGACTCGCAGGCGCTACGGTCAGTACATCATCTCCGACTCGCAGGCGCCACGGTCAGTACATATCTCCGACTCGCAGGCGCTACGGTCAGTACATCATCTCCGACTCGCAGGCGTCACGGTCAGTACATCATCTCCGACTCGCAGGCGTCACGGTCAGTACATCATCTCCGACTCGCAGGCGTCACGGTCAGTACATCATCTCCGACTCGCAGGCGTCACGGTCAGTACAACATCTCCGACTCGCAGGCGTCACGGTCAGTACATCATCTCCGACTCGCAGGCGTCACGGTCAGTACAACATCTCCGACTCGCAGGCGTCACGGTCAGTACATCATCTCCGACTCGCAGGCGTCACGGTCAGTACATCATCTCCGACTCGCAGGCGTCACGGTCAGTACAACATCTCCGACTCGCAGGCGTCACGGTCAGTACAATATCTCCGACTCGCAGGCGCTACGGTCAGTACAACATCTCCGACTCGCAGGCGTCACGGTCAGTACAATATCTCCGACTCGCAGGCGTCACGGTCAGTACATCATCTCCGACTCGCAGGCGTCACGGTCAGTACATCATCTCCGACTCGCAGGCGCTACGGTCAGTACAACATCTCCGACTCGCAAGCTTCGTAAGTTTCAATTTGACCCGCACCATACAAGCTGTGCACAGAGATCGAACCGTGCATGAGGGTTAAAGTAATAAATTAGAAGTAGACATTAGCCGCCTTATTAAAGCTTTCAGGACAGGAAAGTAAGAAAAGAGAATTTGGCACCATAAGATTTAATATATATTTTTGTTTGATATTGACAGCTGTTTGGGGGATTATTTTAAGTGTTTTTTTAATCACTTTATAAATTACACTGGCACAATTATCAGAGATGAACCAGTCGAGAGTAGTTGCATTATTCATGTATATTTGTCTGTTTTTGCTGAGGGTCACCTGAGGAGCTACGGCAACCCTAAAGGGACATGGTGATGGGAGGAAAAATGAATTTTATTGCTTTCCACTCTCAAAACGTTTGAGTTCTATCAAATGAAAGCAAAGTTTCTTGGGGGAAAACGCAAAACTTTTGCGAGAGAACACAAAATCAATAAAATATATTTTTTCTTCAATTTCATATTTTTTCCATCTCCATGTCTCCTAAGTGCTTCCATAGGCATCTGTTAGTTTAGAGGAAATTGAAAGAGATTTGAAAAATAGATAGCCTGATCCTGGATAACAAAACATGGGATTTCCAAATCTAGATTATTCTGATCCAGATGAAACTGGACCCTGCAGTGTGAGACCAGTGAACACAAGTTGGTCTGGCTTCAGATTGAGCAGTTTAAGACGTCTAGCTAGAGGAAACTCCTGAAAGTACATATTAATATCCAGTAAGGCCTGTGAATAACTGTACGTCTGAAACAAATTAAGGCTGAGAATCTAATTTATAATATCTTGGCATTTTGAAATTGAAGCAATGATGTGAAAGCAAACTTAACTCCCAGTTTCACTAAAAATTTTAAACTCTGTGACCAAATCAGAAAGTACATCACTCCTTTATTATGGAGTGACGGGTGAAGGTGATTCACACACACACACACACACACACACACACACACTCCAGTCCTGATCAGGCACTTTAATGGACCCGTTCAGAGCCACGAATGTTATTGACACAAATGTTCAGTGCAATTAACTGTATTCTTACATAATGACAAGACATTTCAGTGCGAAATCCCAAAGAGATCTGAATGTAGCATCACATTGGCGAAGGAAGTTAGCATCACAACTAGTAATCCTGGCTGAAACGGCACACGTGTTTCCGGCAGCGTTCGGGGAGAATCACAGACTTCAGGCTGTTTAACTCTCCCAGTCTCCAGACGGCGAGTCCGAGCGCTCTTCATCGTCAGAGTCGTTCGAGACCTTCTTCATCCTCAGCATGGCAGCTTTGATGCTGCGCTCTAACTCTGAGTCTGAGCTGAGGGGCGGTGCTCGAGAGGGCGGGGCTTTCTTCAAGGCCACGCCCTGACGGATGGCTGACAGGAGGCTGTCTCTGACATCACCACTCTCGACCTTGACCTCGACCTCGACCTTCCTCAGGTGTTTCTGTCCGCGCTGAAGAGATGCTAGGAGCTCGTCCATCGACCCTGCATCACAAACACACTTCACTCACTGAGAGACAGTCATATTTCTCCTCAGAGTCTATATAAATACAGAACACGTGCTGTGTTTATAACATGACACAATGCCCAACCTCTGGTGCTCTTCGGTCATTTTTGACCGGAAAATTTTACATTTGTTTTTTGTCGAATTTTTTTCTTCATCGGAATGGTACGAAACTTGGTAAAGGTTTTGGCACTTGCTGTCTGAACACAAAAAAAATAATGGACATGATTCGAAAAGGTTAAATGGTCCTGAAAAAAATAGTCACACTTAAAAAATGAGCGCATTGGAAATGAATGGGAGACGAGTTTCCTCTAGTGGAAGCGTTTGGTACTTTTGGCAGCTCACTGAAAGATCAACTATTTTTAGATATCAGGCTCAAATTTTGAACAGAACTAGTTTAGATTTATAGCTTTTATTGTCTCACAATTTTTGAGTAAAACATGTTTTTGAAAATATATATTTCATATTTAAAATAGTATATTTAAAATAGTACATTTTTCATAACAATACATGTAAAATTCTGTAACTTTTTTTAAGTTCACTTTTTAAAACTGTTTTCACTTCAGCAATAATCTGCCGAGTGTCGTCTCTGAGAAGAGACCAAACTTCAGTCTGTCGCTCTAAAGCGTTCAAGATTTACCAGTTTAAGGTGGAAATGTAATTTTCAGGTCTATACTCAAAAAGTGAATAAATGGATTATAAATACAGCGTAAATATAATTCAGTACCATAAAATCCCCCAAATATTAAATAAAAAACATTATCGAGGGGGGGGGGTGGGGGGGTTAATTTATTTAAATTTTTTTTTTTTTTTGTTTTTTTTTTTACTTGACTGTTTTGATTCCCGAATTGTTACCTCTTGATTTTGATATGTCACTGAAAAAATCAATACCAAATGTAAAAAAAAAAAAAAAAAAAAAAAAAACATTATCGAACTAAAATATACTACATTCATTTCATTGAAACAAAAAAATTAAAAAAATTGATCAACACGCGAATGAAATCATACTTTCACATGATGGTGATGGGAATGAGAATTCACTACGGTGGGGGGTAAATATGCTTAATTCCCATGAAAATGATTTCACAGTACAAGGAATCATGAAAGTCCTAAAATAGTCCTTCATTTTTTTAATGTAAAATATTAGACTTGACTTTGGGTCACTAATAGGACTTGCAGTCAAATTCATAAGAAGTGTAATCTCAAATATTTTCTTAAGAATGTTTTAATTTTGTTCATAAGACTAAAATCTCCTGTCAACAAATCAAAAAAACATAACTTCAAAACTTTACACTAGTAAAGTTTAAAAATGGTATAATTTGTCTGGCTATGAATCATTTCTTGCACCTCAAGCTCTTTTACTAAATGTTTGTTTATTGACCGTCTCAGCGAGTTCTTTTAACTTTAAGAAGATATTTACTGTGATTTTTAAGTACAACAATAAAAACAAGGTTTTTTTGAACATACAAACTATCCTTTTGTATACTGTTTTATATTGTTTCCTTATTAAGCTAAAACATGAAAACAGCAGTTAAGAATTGTATTTCATTAGCTTGTGGACTCTGACGCTCACCTGAGTTTTGTTCAAGAGTGTTTCGCATCGGCAGCTTGTCACTGGTTTGTGGAGCAGGCGGAGGAAGAAGAGGAAGAGAAAGAAGAGGAGGAGGAGGAGGAGGAGGAGGAGGAGAAAGAAGAGGAGGAGGAGAAAGAAGAGGAGGAGGAGGAGGAGAAAGAAGAGGAGGAGGAGAAAGAAGAGGAGGAGAAAGAAGAGGAGGAGGAGGAGGAGGCGTCTGGTCTGGTTTTGCTGATGAAGATCCAGATCCAGAGGGCAGCAGAATCTGCACCGGGATTTCACGCTGCTTCTGACTCCGCCCCTTCCTACGGGGTGTGGAGCTCTGAGGTCCCAGGCTGATGATTGACAGGGGCTGGGAGGAGTCATCTCTGCTGGAGTCATGTGACTCTGTATGTAAAACATACTGACCCTGATGTCTCTAAACTCAAAGAAACACAAAACACTGAAGCCATGCTGAAAATTAAACACACTCACACACACACACAGCGATGCATTACCTCTCTGAAGCAGCGCACTCTGTTGAGTGTCTTTGCTCTCTCGTTCTCCAGCCATTGCTTCTGCTGCTCTTCCTCAGCTCTCCTCTTCTCTCGCTTCTGAACACACACACACACACACACACACACACACACACACACGAGACACGCTCAGAGACGCCAGCACAAACAATGTAAGGCACAAAAGAGGAATGTGAGTGTAAGTTGGAATCGGCCATGTCCCGGGATGAGGAACTGGAATGACAGGAAGAGGAATTCAACACGGAAGCTTCATCAGACCCAGGGAACGGAGCTGAGCCTCAGGCTGCTCTGGGAAAATGAAGCATTCTGGGAAATGATGCGATCATCCACCTTTACCCTTAAGAAGTTAATTTATTAGTTCACAAGTTCACACTTACAAATAATCATAAAAGTATGAGTATTTGGCTTGCTGTCCGAGAAGGGGCTCTGAGCTCGGGATGTGGCCCGAAGAGACTCTGTGTTTGCATCATTCAGGAACTGAAGCTCTGCACACACACACTCATGTTCTCCAGACACAAACACAAGAAGAACACGCAACGCTCGACTGTCTCGTCATGAGACTCTGCGTGTGACGTCTGCACTCGCATCACTAACTGCACACGCATCACTAACTGCACACGCATCACTAACTGCACACGCATCACTAACTGCACACGCATCACTAACTGCACACGCATCACTAACTGCACTCGCATCACTAACTGCACACGCATCACTAACTGCACTCGCATCACTAACTGCACACGCATCACTAACTGCACACACATCACTAACTGCACACGCATCACTAACTGCACACGCATCACTAACTGCACTCGCATCACTAACTGCACACGCATCACTAACTGCACTCGCATCACTAACTGCACTCGCATCACTAACTGCACACGCATCACTAACTGCACTCGCATCACTAACTGCACTCGCATCACTAACTGCACACGCATCACTAACTGCACACGCATCACTAACTGCACACGCATCACTAACAGCACACGCATCACTAACTGCACACGCATCACTAACTGCACTCGCATCACTAACTGCACTCGCATCACTAACTGCACACGCATCACTAACTGCACTCGCATCACTAACTGCACACGCATCACTAACTGCACTCGCATCACTAACTGCACTAACTGCACTCGCATCACTAACTGCACTCGCATCACTAACTGCACACGCATCACTAACTGCACTCGCATCACTAACTGCACACGCATCACTAACTGCACACGCATCACTAACTGCACACGCATCACTAACTGGACTCGCATCACTAACTGCACACGCATCACTAACTGCACTCGCATCACTAACTGCACACGCATCACTAACAGCACTCGCATCACTAACTGCACACGCATCACTAACTGCACACGCATCACTAACTGCACACGCATCACTAACTGCACTCGCATCACTAACTGCACACGCATCACTAACAGCACTCGCATCACTAACTGCACACGCATCACTAACAGCACTCGCATCACTAACTGCACTCGCATCACTAACTGCACACGCATCACTAACAGCACTCGCATCACTAACTGCACACGCATCACTAACTGCACTCGCATCACTAACTGCACACGCATCACTAACTGCACTCGCATCACTAACTGCACACGCATCACTAACTGCACTCGCATCACTAACTGCACACGCATCACTAACAGCACACGCATCACTAACAGCACACGCATCACTAACAGCACACGCATCACTAACTGCACTCGCATCACTAACTGCACTCGCATCACTAACTGCACTCGCATCACTAACTGCACACGCATCACTAACTGCACACGTGTGCATCACTAACTGCACACGCATCACTAACTGCACTCGCATCACTAACTGCACACACCTCACTAACTGCACTCGCATCACTAACTGCACTCGCCTCACTAACTGCACTCGCATCACTAACTGCACACGCATCACTAACTGCACTCGCATCACTAACTGTACACGCATCACTAACTGCACACGCCTCACTAACTAAACTCGCATCACTAACTGCACACGCCTCACTAACTGCACTCGCATCACTAACTGCACACGCATCACTAACTGCACTCGCATCACTAAATGCACATGCATCACTAACTGCACTCGCATCACTAACTGCACACGCATCACTAACTGCACACGCATCACTAACTGCACTCGCATCACTAACTGCACACACCTCACTAACTGCACACGCATCACTAACTGCACTCGCATCACTAACTGCAGACGCCTCACTAACTGCACTCGCATCACTAACTGCACACGCATCACTAACTGCACTCGCATCACTAACTGCACTCGCATCACTAACTGCACACGCATCACTAACTGCACTCGCACCACTAACTGCACTCGCATCACTAACTGCACACGCATCACTAACAGCACACGCATCACTAACAGCACACGCATCACTAACTGCACTCGCATCACTAACTGCACACGCATCACTAACTGCACTCGCATCACTAACTGCACACGCATCACTAACTGCACTCGCATCACTAACTGCACACGCATCACTAACTGCACACGCATCACTAACTGCACTCGCATCACTAACTGCACTCGCATCACTAACTGCACACGCATCACTAACTGCACACGCATCACTAACTGCACTCGCATCACTAACTGCACTCGCATCACTAACTGCACACGCATCACTAACTGCACTCGCATCACTAACTGAACACGCATCACTAACTGCACACGCATCACTAACTGCACACGCATCACTAACTGCACTCGCATCACTAACTGCACACGCATCACTAACTGCACACGCATCACTAACTGCACACGCATCACTAACTGCACTCGCATCACTAACTGCACTCGCATCACTAACTGCACACGCATCACTAACTGCACACGCATCACTAACTGCACTCGCATCACTAACTGCACTCGCATCACTAACTGCACACGCATCACTAAATGCACTCGCATCACTAACTGCACTCGCATCACTAACTGCACACGCATCACTAACTGCACTCGCATCACTAACTGCACACGCATCACTAACTGCACTCGCATCACTAACTGCACACGCATCACTAACTGCACACGCATCACTAACTGCACTCGCATCACTAACTGCACTCGCATCACTAACTGCACTCGCATCACTAACTGCACACGCATCACTAAATGCACTCGCATCACTAACTGCACTCGCATCACTAACTGCACTCGCATCACTAACTGCACACGCATCACTAACTGCACTCGCATCACTAACTGCACACGCATCACTTACTGCACTCGCATCACTAACTGCACTCCACTAACTGCACACGCATCACTAACTGCACACGCATCACTAAATGCACTCCCATCACTAACTGCACACGCATCACTAACTGCACTCGCATCACAAACTGCACTCGCATCACTAACTGCACTCGCATCACTAACTGCACTCGCATCACTAACTGCACACGCATCACTAACTGCACACGCATCACTAACTGCACACGCATCACTAACTGCACACGCATCACTAACTGCACTCGCATCACTAACTGCACTCGCATCACTAACTGCACACGCATCACTAACTGCACACGCATCACTAACTGCACTCGCATCCCTAACTGCACTCGCATCACTAACTGCACACGCATCAGGCTTGATTACTGTAACAGCCTACTTATTGGTGTATCAAGTAAACACCTTCAAAAACTCCAATTTATTCAGAACTGTGCTGCCCGAACTCTGATGAAGGCACGCAAATACGAACACATCACTCCCATTCTTCAGAACCTCCACTGGCTCCCCATACCCTCAAGAATTCAATACAAAATCGCCCTCATTACCCATCTTTGCATCTATAACAATGCCCCGCAATACCTCAAAGATCTCCTTACCCCTCTTTCTTCTACCCGTAACCTCCGGTCCCAAAATACAAACCTTCTCCATCAGCCACGCTCAAGACTATGTACCATGGGAGACCGAGCTTTCTGCTGTGCTGCCCCTCGCATCTGGAACTCCCTCCCTGAACATCTGCGAAAACCCCAGTCGGTGGACAATTTTAAAAAAGAGCTTAAAACTGTTTTGTTCAGGCAGGCTTTCTTAAGTGGTCCTTAGGCTTTGATATTTTTTCTATGTATTTTTTTTGGTTCTGATTTTAGATTGTTTTATTGTGGTTCTGTAGCACTTTGAGATTCTTTTATGAAAAGTGCTTTATAAATAAAATTTATTATTATTATTATTATCACTAACTGCACTCGCATCACTAACTGCACACGCATCACTAACTGCACTCGCATAACTAACTGCACACGCATCACTAACAGCACACGCATCACTAACTGCACACGCATCACTAACTGCACTCGCATCACTAACTGCACACGCATCACTAACTGCACTCGCATCACTAACTGCATTCGCATCACTAACTGCACTCGCATCACTAACTGCACACTCATCACTAACTGCACTCGCATCACTAACTGCACACGCATCACTAACTGCACACGCATCACTAACTGCACACGCATCACTAACTGCACTCGCATCACTAACTGCACACGCATCACTAACTGCACTCGCATCACTAACTGCACTCGCATCACTAACTGCACACGCATCACTAACTGCACACGCATCACTAACTGCACACTCATCACTAACTGCACACGCATCACTAACTGCACACGCATCACTAACTGCACACGCATCACTAACTGCACTCGCATCACTAACTGCACTCGCATCACTAACTGCACACGCATCACTAACTGCACTCGCATCACTAACTGCACTCGCATCACTAACTGCACACGCATCACTAACTGCACACGCATCACTAACTGCACTCGCATCACTAACTGCACTCGCATCACTAACTGCACTCGCATCACTAACTGCACTCGCATCACTAACTGCACACGCATCACTAACTGCACTCGCATCACTAACTGCACTCGCATCACTAACTGCACTCGCATCACTAACTGCACACGCATCACTAACTGCACACGCATCACTAACTGCACTCGCATCACTAACTGCACTCGCATCACTAACTGCACACGCATCAC